TATAGATTGAATTAGAAATAATTCAAAGAGTAATCATAATATATTGTTTTACATGTAAATTATTTACCAATTGCCTCTAAACTTCCAGTAAAAATAATAAACGATAAAGCGTGAAATATTCAGATTATAAATTAATGTAAAAAGGTCTGTTTTAAACAATCTATTTATATAATTATTTTATATCATCACATATAAACTAATTTTTAATATTTTCGTTAATAGTATTTTTACTTGTGTATAGCAATTTATATAAAGCGGAATTATGAAGAAACATTACACTAATTTTCATTTTAATACTAATCAAATACACGTAAAATGTATTTCTGTGTGTTTGTGATAACAACTTATAAATACAAAACTACTGCATAAAGCTTAATATTTAGAATAAGATAAAACACAAGTATCTTTAGTATTATTTACAAATTGCAGCTTTAGTAAAAGATTATTTTTTATTTGACTAAGAAATTTAAAAGACACCTAACGATAGCTTGTTATAAGAATTCAGACAATGGTGGTACAGATTAAATGCCATATCGTTGCTAATGAAACATTTATCCGTGAAAAGTTACATCAGTTAGTTCTGGATGCTATTCAGGAAGAACCTTCTCAATTCAGTCCTCAGCATCTTCAATCGACAGTTTATCACAAACTGCTTCAGTGAAAGCAGTAATTGTTGTACATCAAGCCACTGGGGAGAGGGGGGGGGGCAGGACAAGGTGTGGTGTAAGAGTATGTTTAATGAAATAGTCCATCTATAGGAATGTTTTATTTTATTGTTGTTCTCGTATATTTATTCCTCTAGTGATGCATCTTCCCAAAGTCATTCTGAAATCTGAATTCTAATGCAGTCACGCCGTAACACCCCTTCTGTAATAGTGCAGAAGAATATCAGTGTATTTAATGTCGATATCCAATGTAAAGGTATAACAACGTAAATAACTGCGGATTTTTTCTCGTTTTTTCACACTTACTGGTTCAGCATGTCTTGGCCTTCAAATGAAAGGTTTCATTAGCCATCCTCGGGTGAAGAAGCATTGCCTGAAAAATTTGTTTATTTGTTAACATATTCTTTAGATAGATATCTTAGTGGTTGAATTATGAGAAGTTAGTTACATTTAAATATGCTGAACTTTCATGAGAACATGTGGCTCGGGTTACTAAGCAGAATTTATTATAATTTGTGTAGCGCAATAATGGGCTATCTACGTTCTGTCCACCAAAGGAAATCTAACCCCGGATTTTAACGTAGTAAATCCGTCAATTTACCATTGACCCACTGACGGACTCTCTCGTGATTAAAACCATGCTAAATTTAATAACATATAGTTGAGATGTCAAACATGAATCGCGAATTTTCATGGCGACTTTTATACTCATGTTTCATAACAATAAAGGAATTACACTAGAGAACGATGTGTGTGTATTTTTCTCATTATTAGATAAAATGCTATTTTCAGAGATTCAGAATACAGGCAGCTGTCAACTAGTCCCTCAAAAACAATAATAGACATTATAGTTTGCAAGATTTATTAAAATTTTCTTTAGCATTTTTTGGTGGTAAAAGTATGTTAAAGGCTTGATCTATTCTTTGTTTTGGCCTTTATTGCAATTTGACTAGTTTCAGTAACCTTCGAGTAAGTCAAAGCAAAAGATAGAGATTAATCTAAATATGGTTTTATTTTCATCTTTTGCTTTGGTCTAACTAAGGTTACTAAAGAAAAGTAGCATTTCCCTTATTTAATTCAACTTAAAGAGATGAGTTAAAAATAAAAAGATGATCAAGACTTTTGCATAATTTACTTCACTAGAAACTGATTAAGAGAACTCCATTATAATAGGTAATGATTAGCAGCAATAATCATTTTAGAAGGCTAATGAGACAGCAAGGGTTAAAATGATGCTCTTAGGTGAAGCAGGAGAACTTAATTTAATCCTTGATTAAACACATTTAATTGATAGATAATTTCCCTTAATTATTTTGTTAGGTGTTGTTATATGGTATGATAAGTGTATATATATATATAAAGTTTGTTGAAAACGATTTTCTAAGAACGTTGGTGAGATGTACGATATTATTTATGTCAGTGGTTTGTATTGAATTAATGAAGTTTTTGTTTAAATAGATAAATGCTCTTAAATTCATATTCATTAAAGACACCCTTCAACGAGACAGAGAGAGAGAGAAAAAAGTTCAGTTGTTAGTTTAAATAAGGAGGATTATTTATACCATAGGTTTCAAAACTTTCATTGCTTCTTCAATAGTAAAACTTTTATATTTCGATCTACAGCTATATTTAATACGTCTTTATGCTTTGAAGTAATGAAAAAAGGTAACCCAAGAGTTGGCGGTAGGTACTGTTGACTATTTGCCTTCTCTATAATACATGAGTTCAAAATTAGGGACGTTTATGTGCAGATAACTCATCATGTAGCTTTGCGCGAACA